TAATTGCAGTATGGGCCAAGATACAGTTTGCAATTGCAGTTGGGGCAATGTATACAAACCAGCTTTCTGGCCAGGTAGGGTGCCCGAAGTGCAATCGCAAACTGTATCTTGCCCCATACTGCAATTATAACTCGTTTTTGTGACTCTACTGAAGTTACCCCTTTTGTTTTTCATTACCGGTTGTTGGTTCCCCGACCCCGGTCCGATGCAGCGCGTTAAAGGCCGCGTGGTGGTATTAACATGCTATTGCAACCCGATATGAGGAATGCACTTCTAAGTATGAGGAATGCAGTTCTAGGTATCACAGGCAGTGTCTAATCGCCTGGCCCCCTGGCCAAGGTCCCCTGGCCAAGGTCTAACATATGCAACGTCAGGGCCACCACAGCTTCTGGCCCTAGCCTGCCAAATCCAGAAGGCTGACCGTCCCCCACTTGAGAAGACCTTTAACAAGCTTACTGTCTGGAACATGACACATGCTGCCCGAATGGCTGCGTCCCCGCGTGGAACGCGGTATAATTGAAAATGTCCAAAAGTTGCATGAAAATGTCCAAGTTGCAGGCTGAGAAAGGAGCCTTGCTTGAGAGGAGGTGTCGAAACCCTTTCCCTGACAGCTCCTGATTTTTTTCACATCTCGGATTTTTTTATTTTTTATTTTTGTTTGTGTACTAAACCGTATGTTTCATATAGTCCGTAGACTATTCCCGCCGTCCTTATCGAGGGAGATGCTAACCTTCTCTCGGCTCAACGAACACCACATCTCGGATTTCGACATGCTGTGTGGCGAGCCTCAAAAAGTCGAAAATGCCGTTTTCGACATTGGTGTGGCGAGGCCCTAACTCAACGCGGGGTCCTCGAGAATCCCCGCGGTTGTTTGTAATCTGCACCCTGTTCACATTTCTGGTTCCCAGCGGAGGTATGGGTGAGCGTGAGCGGCGCGATATCGCTGCCCCCTCACTTTCGGGTTCTTGTTGTCGTATTCGCCTCCCCTTTTCATTTCGTCCAGCAAGGGGCTTGCCTGTCGGCTACCAGTAGTCACGCCATACAGGTAAGCTTCTCTCCTTCATCACCACCTCCCGGTGAGGGCCCTCCGACCGTAATTGCGCATATTGCACATATCGATGTCCATAATAGAACGACGAATCCGGGCAAATGGGGCAAAAGCAAAAAAAAAAAAAAATCCGGCCAAATGAGGCGTCGCGTCAGCGCTGGCCGTCTCGACGACTTTCGGCTCGTCCATGTTGCTCTGTCGTCCGCTTTTCATCCCCTCGTCTTCGTCTTCGTCTTCGTCTTCTCCTTCTCGTTATCCATGCATTTGCTCCTCGTCCTCCTCTCTGCCCTTCTACCTTCTCTGCCCTTTATTCGCTCCTCTCCTCCTCTTCTCCTCCCTCTGCGCATTTCTCTTCCCCAGGGAGAAGGCTCTCCTTCTTTCCGATGGTCGTCTTCTTTGGAGTAGTCGTAGGTGCAACGATGAGCAAGAGGGGAAGATACATAGAGATGAGAACGTTTCCAAAATCGAGCGTAAGGAGGCCAGGGGAGAAGAAGATTGGATTGGATGGCGAATCTACCTTCTTCCCCCGAATACAACGTACGGTGATTATAGCTATATTTTTTTGAGGGATCTTTCAGTCTAGATACAGCTATAATGACCGTACGTTGTATTCGAAACTGCGCGTATCGTTGCCATCATCATCGTCGTCCACATCATCGTGATTGTCCTCGTGTAATTATATTAATCTCTTTCCTTCTTTGACTAAGCATGATGATGATGATGATGATGATGATGATGATGACTTAAAGCGATCAGAAGAAGGGGCAACAATTGTTCGGCAATGGTGTCTCTATCGAATGTGGTTTCATAGCATCTGTGGTATCAAGCATGCGATTAAACTATACATTGGTTTCCCATTTGGTGGGTCTGATGATGACGTGGCATGGTGGCGAGCGTGTCTTCTTTGCGGGGGGTGGTTGTCGGATAATGAGGATTTTGCAATCGAAGCGGGCAAGGAATGACTGGGTGGATGTTCAGAATGTATTACTGCGTTTCTAATGCGTTGTATTCGGGGGAAGATGTGCTGGTCACGTAGGTCGCAGGTTGAGTGGGGCGCTGGGAAAGTCGGTGGTTGAAGGAGGAAAAAATGAAGGCATTGGGCACAGGGGCACAGAGACAGAGAGAGAGAGAGAGAGAGAGAGAGAGAGAGAGAGAGAGAGAGAGAGAGAGAGAGAGAGAGAGAGAGAGAGAGAGAGAGAGACTCTGATCAGCCTCCGTTTGATCAACAAAACCATATAGGCCCCC